GGGGCCTGGCCACAGCTCCTGGTGGTGCCAGGCTCTGCAGGCTGGGCCCTCCCCACCCCCCCAAGTCTGCTGCTTTGTTCTCCCTCCTCTGGGCAGGCAGCCTGGACCAGAGACACAGGAGAGGCGGGGCTGCGGGTGAGGGGTCCCCTGGGGCGGGCAGTGGGTGGCCTTCACATCCAACCCCGAGACTCCAAGACAGGAACAGGGTGGTCAGTGACCGAAGCTGGCCTGACCCCTCCTTCACCCAACTCTGCGGATCCTCCCTGAGTGGCCTTTCCTGCACCGTGCAGGGGTCAGGGGAGGGACCCGAGGCTTCCTGCTCTGAGCTGTGTCTGCTCTTCAGGGACGGAACCCGGGCAGGGGGGATGCTGGCGATGAGCCTCGGCTCTGCGTGCGGCCTAGCAGAGCCTGCAGGTGGGCGCTGTGGCCAGACACCTTGCCCCTCAGGGCGCCGCCGAGTTCCTCACCCTCTCACCCTCTAACCACGGGCCTGCACACATCACTTCCCTCGAGCGCCGCAGCTGACTCAGTGATACGGGGTGGCGGTAGGGACCACTGTCCCCGTCGGCCCCCGAGCCGCTCCCCGCCCTTCCAGCCTCAGGCCCCCGGAAGCTCGACCAGAATCCGAGACCGGCAGAGGCGGCCAGGCCTCTGGGCGCTCCCCATTAGCCCAGCTTGTGCACCTGGAACGCTGAGCCCAGAGAGCGAGTGCCAGCGGAAGGCAAGGGCAGACACAGTCGCCGTAGGCCGCGGGGCAGGTGGAAGCAAAAGCTGGGCTTCCTGGCATGGCTGCCTCCACCCTTCCTGTCCTCCCCTGCACCTGAACCCGAGCCGGCTCATCCTGGGGGCGGGGGACTCCCAGACCCCTCAAGCCCGTTCCCCAAAACCCGACACCCGCAGCGCCCAGCACAAGGTGGACCCTCCTCCCAGCGCGCCCAGTGCAGGGGCGGCACCACCCCACCCCCAGTGGCTAGCATTTCCTGTCGAGTCAGGCCCCTACCAGGGGCGCCGTCTGGGGCCCCCACCGACTCCTGCTCCTAACCAGGAGGGTGGGGTTCGTGGAGGTCTGTGTCTGTCACCACCCCAACCTGACCCAGATCCTGGGGCACCAGGGACCGAGCCCTGGCCTGGCTCCCCTGATCGTTCATGGCCCCCGGCTCTCGGCACAGCCCTCCCTGGCCCCGATCCTTCTCCACTCACAGCGCAGGAGACCCGGCTCCTGGCTCTGCCCTTTCACCCCTGGTGACCGAGCTGGGGACAGACCTGCTCGGAGCCCAGTTCTCCCTGTGAGATGCCGCTGGTCCCCTTCTGTCCCTGTGCTTGCAGGCTCCCTTTCTCAATGTGAAATGACCATATTCCCCCTGGACGCAGCCCCTCTTAGTGTCTGGCGTGTGTCCTGTGTGATACACCCCATTTCGTGTGGTTGGAATCCCACACAGTGCAGCCGGCCTCCTGCCGGTCGTCTCTGTTTCGCAGTTTGGTGCTGCCCTGGATGTCTTGGTGCCCACCCGCCTCCCCGGCCCCTCTATCCTGCTGCTGGGTGCTGCGGTGGCCGGCCGGCCTCCTCACGCGCAGTGAGGCTCGGGAGGCAGAAGCCTCGCACCCCATCCTGGAGACACGGGTGGCAGTGGGCAGGAGGACTGTGTGGACAGGAGATGGGCCAGGGAGCCATAGGACCCTGCGTGCCTGAGGCCCTGTGCCCTGCCCCCAGGCACGGGTGGGCGGTGGACGGACACTCAGTCACTTCCCCGAGGCCCCCTGTCTGCAGGACCCCCTGCCTGGGACAAGCCCAAAGCAGGTGACCCACACAGGTCAGTCGAGATACCCAGAGGGCTCGGGGCCCGGTGAAGATGACACAGTGAAGCCGAGATTCTGGAAAGGAGGGAAACGGGGTCATGGCAGGGCAGCCTCAGCTCCCCTTCCCACCGGGCAGGGCCTGGGCTGCCCCTGGGCTCCAGGGAGCTGCCAGGAATGTGATCCAAGAGTTGCCAAGCAGTGGAAAAATTTTGGTTTTTGTAGCAGCTAAAAATACTGTGTGGCAGCCCCTGCCTCCTAGTTCCGGAACCCCGCTCCTGACGGTTTACCGCCCACCCCGGGGGGAGACAGCTCACTCTGTGCGCCCCGCCCCCAGCCTTGCTGGCTCTGGGCCCAGCAGCACCCCAGCTCAGTGCTGATGCCGGCCGGTAGGGCCGCCCCAAGCTGTCTCCCCAGCCGCTAGCAACCGTTCCCCGTCACAGGTGCCTTCCTTAGCCCTAGTCCCCGCCCCAGCCCCAGACCCCCCACCCTGCACCCCCTCACCAACAGGGACTGCGGAACAGAAAACCTCACCCACCTCTACAAGGTGAGAGGCTCAGGCCCGTGGCTGGAATGCCCACCCACCAGGCTGCTCAAAGCCCAGTGGGCCCTGGACTTCTCCAGGGCCTCCCAGCCGCAGCTCAAAGTGTGTCCAGGACACAGCTCAGTGTCTGCCTGGGTCAGTTTCTCCATCTGCAGGGGCTGGTCTCAGGGGTCTGGGAGGCCAACTTTGACCCTGCCCCCTGCTACACACACACACACACACACACACAGTTTGACTGATTATTGTAGGCAGGGGTAACGGCTTCCTGTCGGTCAGCACACTGCCCAGGTACAAGGGCACCCAGGTGGAGGGGCCAGCATCACCATGCCAGGCTGGCCATGTGCAGGAGAGCCGGATGGGTGTCTGAGGAGGTGGCATCTGTGTGGGCTGGGTGATGCTGGTGAGCAGGACACCCAGATCAGTGAGTGGACCCTGGGAAAGCTCAGAGGGAGACCCTATCTTCCAGAGCCCCAGTCTGAAGGGGAAGGCATGACCCCTTCCCAGAGGACACCCCACGTTACCGGAAGAAAAAAGATGAACGCTAAGGATCTATGGGCAACGTCCCACTAATGTCAGAGCCTCAGGGGCTTTCCCTGCAAAGGGCCCTTCCCTCTGTCCGCTGCAGTTTCGGTGCAGGGTGGGGCGGACTGCTTGGAGGACAGAAGAGGTGCTGAAGCACCCGACCTTTCAGTTGCCCAAGGTACAGGGTCTGGCCTGAGCCTCCTGAACTGGGACCCTGGGAACCCCAGACTTTTTCAGCCTGTGGTGCTGATTCCAAATTCCTGCGCAGGCCCTACCCTAGGCGGGCTGGCCGCGCTCCTCGCCTGAGGGAGCCCTGAGCGCCGGGAACACAATCCTGAGCTTAGGGCCCCGCCCCTAGCAGAGCCGCGGCTCCGCCCCGTGGGGCCCCGCCCAGAACAGAACAGCGGCCCCGCCCCCGGGGCCTCGGGCCCGCCCAGACTCAGCCTCAGCTCCGCCCCTCGGCCCCGCCCGGAACTGAACCGCGGCCCCGCCCCCTCTGGGCCGCGGCCCCGCCCGTCGGAGCTCTGGTCTCTGCGCCCGCCCTGGCTGCAGGGTGGGCGCTCAACCCGTGGACAGGGCAGGCCTGGGCTGAGCAGGGCCAGGGCTGAGAGCCGGGCATCCACGGACGGAATGACAGTAGCCGTGAGAACCCTGCGCGCTCGCCCTGTGCCCGCCAGGACCAGTTTCAGTATGAAAACCCGCTGCAGCCCGCCTCCCGGCTCGCTGCCTCCCACACGGGGTCCCTGCGTTGTCCGTAAGGGCCGTCGCCCACAGCCTGTGCTCCTGGGAGCGGTAAACGTTGGTTCCCTCCTTGAGTCCCTCCAGTGTTCCCTGCAGAGATGCTCAGTCACCACCCAGAAGGGAACAGGCAAAGCTGTTTATTTGGAATGCAGGCAGCCAGGAAATCACTGCCGTGTGGTTACTAAGTACATAGAACGCTACCTACACTCACTTGGCTATATAAGACGTATTACTATGTTAAACTATTTTCTGTGTATAGAAAGCTTCTTTACAGGATGGGGCTTCCCGGGTGTTGATGGGGGCTGCAGGGCTGGGGGAGCTGCTCGGCTGAGGAGACTTGGGCCCCCACGCGATGGCTGGGCGAGGTCCTGTCCTGTCCAGCTTTCTCTGGTCCTCAGTGGGAAGCGAGGACAAAGCCCAGGAAGCTGTGGGTTACTGATGAAGCCTGGGCCATGGGGGGGTGTCCCAGGGCCGCCGTAGGGCTTCCGGGGCTGTCGCTCGAGATAGAGGTCTGACACCCGTCGAGTCTGGCCCACAGGGAGTGGGCTGCGTCCTGGGTTGCTTCCTGTGGGGACGGTCGGCTGTCCTGGTCTGGTGGCTGCAGCTGTGGGTCAGAGTTCCGTATATGGTCTGGCTGAGGTCCATTTGTATATTCATTCTTTATCCTGAAAAGCAGTTGGAACATTTCCAGGAAGATGTTGCCCTGGGGCCTTGACCAGGTGGGCCCTGGATGAGGCTGGCAGCCTGGTGGGCATCACAGAGGGAGAAGAGTCACCCGCGTCAGCCCCTGGTGGGCATCACAGAGGGAGAAGAGTCACCCGCGTCAGCCCCTGGGTCCCTAGCTGAGCTCGCTCTCCCAGCTAGATGCCCCGTGCTCGCTGGGCCGTGTGGGCTGCGGCCACTGGAGCCCTGTGCACCCTCTCTGACCCGCCCGGTGCCTCTGTGTGTTGGGGGGGTGGGGAGCAGACAGCCAGGGCAGCTCAGCTGCAGGACACAGGGCCTAGGATCAGGTGGGCAGGCTGGGCTGGTCACCAGCTATGCTCCCCTCCCCTCAGACCCAGGGGCTCCCCTATGGGGGAGTCTTTCGGGGCAGTGAGCCCATGGCTCCGGGAATTAGGGGCATGTGGGGAAAACTGGGCAGCACCGGAGGAGCAGCTCTGATGACCGGGTGGCCTCTGGGAGCTTGTTTCTCCGCGTCAGGGGACCCCTGGGGCTCTTGGCTGGAGACGCACTTGGATGCCAGAGTGCTGGCCTGGGAGAGTTCCTCTGTGTCCGCCCAGCCTGTGCCAGGCAGCCGGGGCCTCAGGCCAGGGGAGGCGGGGGCAGGAAGGGAGGGCAGCTCTGGGCGCTCCTTAAGCTGCGGCGTCCACAGCGGGTGGCAGTGTGTGCTGAGGTCTGTCTGTCCTCCTGGCTCTTCACAGTGCTGGTGGGAGTGCCCCGCCCCCACACCGCAAAGCTGCCTGGAAGGGGCGGCTGGGGTCTTCAGTGGGCAGCAGCGATGAGAAGCCAGGGGAATGCAGGGGGCAGCCCGAGGCAGGGCCCAGCCTGGGTGGGCAGAGGCAGCCGGAAGGTCCTGCGAGTCTGGGTGAGTGCCTGGGGGCCTGGAGGGTGGGTTAAACCTTGCAGTCGTGGGGCGGGCCAGGTCCAGTACAGGCCCCAGGCCACAGGGGCCCCTGGGGGAGGGCTGGAGGACACCCCGCATCCCCCCACCCCCCAGCTGCTGCAGCAGCCAGACCTGAGGCTCAGCCAGAACAAGCACGTCAGCCAGGGTCGGCTGAGAGGGCCGGAGCTGGGAGCACAGTGGTCACTGCCCTCCCCGCCCCCAGCCAGTCTGCCTCCTGGGAGGACCCAAGGGTCCTGCAGGGAGTGGGGGAGGATGAGGGATGGGGGACCCCCTGCAGACAGAGGAGGGGCTGCTGGAATGCCAGGAGGCCCCTAGGGGGGTGGGGGAGACTCCGGAAACTCAGGTGTGGCCAAAATCTTGGCTCCCTGTCCACCGATGCCGAACAGAAATACGGAGGCAGAGTTTGGTGGAGAGAGAAAAGGGCAGCTTTACTATTTGCAGGCAAAAGGGAAACACAGTAGGCTATTGCCTCAAAAACACTGCCCCGCTCTCTCGGGAAGAGGGAGAGGTTTTGTAACCTCATGAAGGTCTTGCCTTTTTTTTTTTTTCTTTCTTTCTTTTGCAAAGTTTCAAAATGGTCACAGCTGACATCAGGCGACTCAGCTGACATCACCAAGTCTGGTGTCCCTGAAGTTATTGACTCCAGATCTTCTTTTTGAAATGTAGAATGCTACAAGAGGGTGTGGGGCTCAGTGATAAAGAATCCACCTGCCAAGGCAGGAGACCAGGGTTCGATTCCTGGGTCAGGAACATCCCTTGGAGAAGGAAATGGCAACCCACTCCAGTGTTCTTGCCTGGAGAATTCCATGGAGAGAGGAGCATGGCGGGCTACAGTCCATGGGACTGCAAAGAGTCAGACATGACTAAGCGACTAGAGCAACAACAGCAAGCGAGTGTAGGGGGAGAATAATGCCACCTGCGGAGTCCAATCGCGTGAAGTCAGAGAGTAATTAGCTCTGCTGAGGACAAGTCTACCTACGAGTGTTTGTTAGTAGCAACAGTTAAAGAGTAACTAAGATTTTTAAACTCTTTTAGGCCTGTTTACGCTTTTTCCCCAGCCTGTTCATTGTCTTCTTATTTTCCTTGTTTATCAGGAAAGTCTCATTTCTATTTCAGAAAAGCCTCATGTCTATTTTTGCTGCCGCAGATTGCCCACTGCTAGTTCATCCCTCCATATCACTGGAGGAAGGGAAACAGGCGTCGTTCATGTCGGACTGAGGACAAAACTTCAGTTCTGCTCCCATTTGACAAACATCAGCTGCCTGGCCCAGGGGCCCGTCTGTCTAATTCACAAGGGAGGACACCCAAGACCCTCACCCAGGTCGGGGGGGGGGGGCCTTCAGGAGTGAACGAGTGCTGGGGACCCCGAGCCCCGCCGGGCATCGGTACCTGGGCCGTTGGCCCCCTCAGCCTGTCTCCTGCATCACCCCAGCTGGTCCCTGGGGTCTCCCCTGTAACTTGCCAGGACCAGCAGCCCTTACGGTGATGCCGCAGTGGGCACCAGCCTCTCAAGGGTCCCAGGCCACCTTCTGGCGTCCAGCCTCACTCTGCCATTTCCATGTCTGGGACCCTGGGCATGTTCGTGACCCGGCTTCCCTGGGTGCCGCCTCCCTTTCCCTCCTGTGAAGTTGGGGGCATACCGTGCCCTCCTCCGGGTGGTGGGAGGTCAGGGGTCGGGGTGGGCAGTGCCAGCGTGAGGTCCCCTGGCATAAGCTGCGGTGGTGTTGCCGTCCCCTGCCCCTTGGGCCTCCAGCCCAGGAGCTCCACGCTGCCCTGCTCACACACTACATACAAGACCATACATGGTCACAGAAGAGCCTGGGCTACCTCTGACCTTCTGGGCCAGTCCCGGGGCTCGGGTTGGGGCCCATATCACAGCCCCGGGCCCCGGGAGAGGGACTCGACCAGCTATAGTGATGACACAGAGAGACTCGCCGCCTGTCCCACTGTTCTGTTCTGAGAAGGGAGCCTTTGGGAATGTTCTGGCCTGGGCCACCCCCGACCCTCTGGGGGATGTTCTCTGGGCAGCGATCAGACTTCCTGTGGCTGAATCTGGGTCAGTGTCCGAGAGCCCCGGGCCTGGGGGACGCTGGTCCCTGCCCCCTGAGTGACAAAGTGAGGCCCACAGGAGCTGGGGCCTGGCAGGGCCACTCCCTGAAGGGCCCTGGTCTTGCCTAGAACTGAGTGAGCACTGGACATGACCCTGGAGCCAGCCGCATTCCTGGTGCCGTGGGCAGTCTGGAAATGCCCCGGGTGTGGAATTGTCCCCGCCCACACTATTATCGCCATCTGAGCCTGTCCACTGGGCAGGGGAGCACCCTGGGCCCAGGTGAAGGAGCCCCGGAGACACCGTTTCTCTGCCTGAGCACCACGGGGCAGTGGCCTTCCTGCCAGTGAGGCCTCCTGGGGTCTCGGTGCCTCCCGTCAGGGCAGGGGTGCGGCCTCCTTGGTCGCCACGATGACCGAGACCAGCATGGGTGTAAGAGGCGCTTGGCACAGGGGAGCCTGGCGGGTTGAGGGATCGCCAGCACAGCGGGTCCACAGGGCATCAGCAGGCGAGTCCCCAGTCAGCAGGTGGAGACACGGAGCAGGGGACACCGACTGGCCCCGCCTCGCTGGGCCGCGGGTGCTCTGTAGGCCCCGGGCTCACACCCGTCTCCTCCCACCTGCAGCTGAGCAAGATGTCGGTGAAGGAGGGCGCCCAGCGCAAGTGGGCGGCACTGAAGGAGAAGCTGGGGCCGCAGGACTCAGACCCCACGGAGGCCAACCTGGAGAGCGCCGAGCCCGAGCTCTGCATCCGGCTGCTGCAGGTTCCCTCCGTGGTCAACTACTCGGGGCTGCGCAAGCGGCTGGAGGGCAGCGACGGCGGCTGGATGGTGCAGTTCCTGGAGCAGAGCGGCCTGGACCTGCTGCTGGAGGCCCTGGCACGCCTGTCGGGCCGCGGCGTGGCCCGCATCGCCGACGCGCTGCTGCAGCTCACGTGCGTCAGCTGCGTGCGCGCCGTCATGAACTCCCGGGAGGGCATCCAGTACATCCTCAGCAACCAGGCCTATGTGCGCCAGCTCTCTCTGGGTGAGGCCTGGGCGGGCGCGCACGGGTGGGGGTGGGGGCGGGCCAGCTGGCAGACGCCGGGAGGGCTTCCTGGAGGAGGAGCCAGTTTCCCCATCTGCCCACGTCTGAAGCCGGGGCACTGTGCAGCCGTGATCCTCCGCCAACTGCACCAGGTTGCCCTCTCTGCTCTGACTTCCCCTGTGTTTCCGCCTAGCCTGGTGCTAGTCCAGGCTCTGCCCCAGCCCGAGTCTTCTCTGCCCTTGAGGCCCCCGTCCACACCGTGGCAGTCAGAGTCACCAGGATCAGAAATTCATGTCCAGCTGAGGGGGCCTTCCTTCCACTCCCCCTGGTTTCGAGCTCCTCGGCCTCAGCCGGGGCTCAGCTCCTCAGGTCTGGGCCCCACTGCGGGCATCAGTCTCCACCCCCACCCCCGCCTCTGCACTGGCCTCCTGGGGGGCGCCTCCGCCCCCCGCCCTCCAGTCTCCTCCCCCACTCAGGCTGTGGTGCCCACGCGTGCCAGCCGAGTCCTGCTCACCCTCCGAGCTTGGACTCACTGTCACCTCTTTTAGGGAGTCTCCCCAGGCTGTGGCCAGAGTTAGTCCCCACCTGGGGGAGACCCCAGGCGGCCCTTGGTGGACAATGGTCGCTGCACGCTCTGCCTGCCAGGCTGTGCTGCCCCCACTGATGCGCGGGGCTCTAGGGCGGGCAGGGCCCATGTGGGCGAGTGAACCAGAGATCACCCGGCCCAGGCCCGGCTGTTGCTGTCTGTGGAGTCCTTTGTGCCTTGGTCTCAGCAGGGTCAGCCAAGAGACACCCCCAGAGCGTCCCCAGCTCCTGGAATGCGGTGGGAGGCAGGGGCCCACAGGGACAAGGAGGCCTCATGGGCTGTCAGTCGTAAACACGTTTGCTCTAAGTTTGGAGAAAACATGGGCTCAGTGCTGGGAGGGTGCCTGTGTGGGCCTTGGGCCCAGAGCCCGCAGAGAGCCCCCAACTTAGAACTGAGGGCCATCAGGAGTAGAACTCCAGTGACTGGGGCCGCGCCTGCCTCCACACCCCTTCCGGGGGTCCTGGGGGTGGCCAGCCTGTCCAGAGACCAGTGCCTGATGTGGGCGGTGGGCCCTGGTTTCTGCCAGCCCAGCAAGTTGGCAGCTGCAGGGTGGGAGCCCAGGCAGGGTGATAAGTGCAGGTGGGGGGGGGGGCAGGACCGGGAGGAGGGGGCCTGAGCCCCTCTGAGAGGCCCCCTACCCCCGGCAGCTCTGGACACATCCAACATTATGGTCAAGAAGCAGGTGTTTGAGCTGCTGGCTGCCCTGTGCATCTACTCCCCTGAGGGCCACGCCCTGACCCTGGACGCCCTGGACCATTACAAGGTGAGCCACACGTGGTGGGGGCCAGGCCGGATCCCGGGGACACGCTGACCCCTGCCCCCCGCCCCCGCAGACGGTGTGCGGCCAGCAGTACCGCTTCAGTGTCATCATGAGCGAGCTCTCAGACAGCGACAATGTGCCCTATGTGGCCACCCTGCTCAGCGTGGTCAATGCCATCATTCTCGGCCCTGAGGACGTCCGCACCCGCGCCCAGCTACGCAGCGAGTTCATCGGTAACCTTGACCTCGGCCCCGGGCTCCGGCCACCCGGCCTGCGCTGCCCGCTTCTGGGGCGATGCCCCTCGCCACTCTCCAGGGTCCCAGGGGCAGGCTCTGCTTGGGCCGGGGAAGCCTCCTGCCCTCCTGCTCCCTTCAGTGGACGCAGGGCCTCAGGACCTCTGGACGGTAGCGCTGGAGGGATCTCGGTGCTAGGCTGCTGCGTGGAGGGAGGCGGGGAGGCTGGCCGACGTCAGTCTGGCCCTGCTGGCTGCGGCGTGACTGTTCCCCGGGCACCACATGTGTCCAGTGTGGTCTTCCCAGAGCCCCATGGCTCCGGCAACCCGAGGGAGCGGGTTCCCCTCCTGCCCCACAAGCTCAGCGCTGTGGGTGGTGGGAGTGAGCCCGGGGACAGGGCGGAGGGGAAGGCGTCCCATATGCCGGTGACCCCCTGTCCCTTCCCAGGACTGCAGCTGCTGGACGTCCTGACGCGGCTGCGGTGAGTCCCCATGCACCTCTCCCCGGCTCCCGAGCAGCACCTCCAGGTGGGCGGGGAGGCGGCTTCCCGGAGTAGCCCCGACAGGCCACCCCTTCTGGGCCCAGGCCCAGTGAGGACCCAGCCTGCCATCCCTAGCTGGACAGGCCAGTGGGCGGAATTTCCCCCAGCGGCCGGCAGCTGCCCTAGAGCCAGGGTCCCCAGGTTTAATACAGGACGCCCGGTTAAACTGGAGTGTGCCCAGACCGTTCTGTCAGTGTGTGTCCCAGATATCGCACGGCGCACACTTAAACTATTTATCAGTTGACGTTTAAGGAAGCCTGTGTAGCTGAGAACCCCATCCTGGCCCTTACCAGGACCATGCTCCCCCCAGGGGAGAGGGTGGGAGGCCACCCCACAAGGAGGCTCCCAGCCGACATGACTGGTGCTGAACTGGCCTCAGCGGAGAGAGGCCTGCTGGATGCGAGGACCCATCGGGGCTGGCCTTTGTGAGCCCAGCACCCAGCTCAGGCCAGCGCCGAGGCTCGGCGGGCCCTCAGGGGCCTTGGTGCCCCCCTGCCCTCCACCCCGCGCCCCACGCGGCACAGCCACGCCATCTCTCCCTGCAAGTGTGGGAACTCACGCTTCCTGTCCCGAGGGGCATGGAGCTGACCGGAGAAGCCCACCTGTCCGGCCACAGCGCCTCCCGCCCCCGCTGTGGCAGCCACAGGCCCTGCTCGGGGTGGTCTGCGTGTCTGTCCAGGGAGGGGGCGGCGGGGTGGGGGGCAGCCAGCTGAAGTCCCCGGCCCCCCGCCCCCCACCCACCCCAGAGACCTGGAGGATGGGGACCTGCTGATCCAGCTCGAGGCCTTCAGGGAGGCCAAGGCCGAGGATGAGGAGGAGCTGCTGCGGGTCTTCGGGGGCATCGACATCAACAGCCACCAGGAGGTCTTCTCTGCGCTCTTCCACAAGGTGTGTGCGGCGGGCAGCGCCTCCCGGGACTCTGGGTGGAGGGGGGCTCAGGGCTCAAGACGGGCCGCGTGTCCTACCCCAGTCACACCCCGCCCTGCTGGGCCTAGGGCAGCTCCGGAGCCACACTCTGAGCCCAGAGGGGTGGGGGACTGGAGAGGTGGAGCCTGAGGCGGGGCCCCAGCAGGACAGCGTGGCTGCACGGTCCTGGGCCTAGCAGCCCGGCCACTGTGGGGTGGTTCGAGGGGACGCTGGGACGAGTGAGAGGCTGAGACAGAGCTGAGTTCCAATCCAGCCCAGGCCCCATTTCCACTGAACCCAGCGACTCAGCCAGGGGCCAGGGTCTGCAGGGGCCATCCAGAAACAACTGGAGACGTTGGGGCTGTCACCCTGGGCAGGGGCGCTTCCCGTGGGTGGGGACCAGGGGCTCTGCTAACACCCCACAGGGCACGGGCAGCCGCCACACGGTGACCCGGCCCCTGATGTCACTAGTGTGCCCACCGGGGAGCCCTAACTCAGCCTCATTCCCGGGCTCCCCCGTAGCTCAATCAATAACGACTCCGCCTGCAATGCAGAAGACTTGGGTTCGATTCCTGGGTGGGGAAGATCCCCTGGAGAAGGGCATGGCAACCCACTCCAGTATTCTCGCCTGGGAAATGCCCATGGACAGAGGAGTCTGGTGGGCTACAGTCCATGGGGTTGCAAAGAGTTGGACATGACTGAGCGACTACATCACAACCACCAGCTGGGCATAGGGTGGGTGCACACTCGCGGGGAGGCCAGCGGATGTCAGCCCGGGAGGTGACGCCACTGACCCGCACTCCTCGCCCACCCCGCCCAGGTGAGCTGCTCCCCGGCGTCCGTCCACCTGCTGTCCGTGCTGCAGGGCCTCCTGCACCTGGAGCCCAGCCTCCGCTCCAGCCAGCTGCTCTGGGAGGCCCTGGAGAGCCTGGTGAACCGGGCGGTGCTCCTGGCCTCTGACGGTGAGCGGGGTGGGGCTGGGGGAGGAGCACCATGCCCCAAGTTGCATACCCCACCCCCACCCCAGCCGGGTGGGCAGGCACGGGGTTCTCGGCCTGCGGGTGGAGGAGACCAGCGTTGGCCCGTGCCCCCCATTCTGACTCCAGACATCCCCACCCAGGCCAGGAGTGCACCCTGGAGGAGATGGTTGAACGCCTCCTGTCCATCAAGGGGCGGCCCCGCCCCTGCTCCCTGGACAAAGCCCACAAGAGTACGCAGGCCGACCTTGGCCAGAGCCAAAGGGGCAGCTCCCCGCAAAACTCTAGCGCCCCGACGGCAGGCCTGGGGGGCCAGCAGCCAGGCGCGGCCCTCGCCAGCCCGCTCGTCACCAGCGTCCAGGGCGAGCGTGGGCCGGCACCGCAGCCAACAGCCCCGGAGCAGCTACATCTCCGGGCCCCCTGCCGCGGGCGGCGTGGAGGAGATAATCGTGGCCCAGGTGGACAGCAGCCTGGGTTCGGCCTGGGTCCCCCGCCACCGGCGCGTGAACCCTCCCACCCTGCGCATGAAGAAGCTCAACTGGCAGAAGCTGCCGTCCAGTGTGGCCCGCGGTGAGGCCCGGCCGCCATGGCTCCCCTCCGGGGCAGGGGGCGGGGACAGGTCAGGTTCGCCCCTCGCCCCGGTGCCCCCACACGCCCCCTGGAGGCTGGCGTGTCTCTGCTGCCGGGCCCCTGCACTGCGCGGGCCCAGGGCTCGGCGTGCTGATACCCAGAGAAGGTCAAGGCCAAGGGTGGCTGGAGGCCAGGTCACCGGCCAGCCTGGACACTGGGCCCTGGGCACCCGCACGCACATACACAGCATGGCATCAGCTGGAGGGCTTCTTTGGCTGGGCATTTATCAAGTGCCTGCTGTATGCTTGCCCTGGGCCAGGCCCCAGGCAGGGCACCCCTGCCAGCCCTGTGGCCCACACCATCTGCCCCTGGACTTGGGGGGCAGGCGTGAGCCTGACTGGCGGCCCCTCACTCGCAGAAGGCAGCTCCATGTGGGCAACGCTGAGCAGCCCCGACGCCGAGGTGGTGGAGCCCGACTTCTCCAGCATCGAGCGGCTCTTCTCCTTCCCCATGGCCAAACCCAAGGAGCAGGCGGTGGCCCCGGCCAGGAAGGAGCCCAAGGAGGTAGGGATGGGGCCGGGGCTCGGGCAGGGCTCCGTGGCCGCCCTCCAGGTACTGACAGGCTGGGGGCGTTTTGCAGATCACTTTTCTGGACTCCAAGAAAAGCCTGAACCTCAACATCTTCCTGAAGCAGTTTAAATGGTGAGCTTCCAGGATCTCGATGCTTGGGTCAGACGCCCAGCCTCGGCCGTGGCCCGTCTTGGGCTCAGCAGTGCCCTCTGCAGGCTACCCTGGGAAGTGTACACCCCATCCCTGGGACTGGAGACAGTCGGATAATAGCAGCAAACGGTCCCAGCTGGGGATCCTGGAGACCACCAGTCCAGCCTCCCTGGGGAATATGAGACCCAGAGAGTGGCAGGGATCCCCTAAAGCCACAGACGGAGGGTGACTGCGCAGGGCCAAAGACTTGGCCCTACCCCCCTGCCCTGAGTGCTTCCTTGTGGCAGGTGCCCTGCCCCGGAGCTCACTGGGTACCGCTGAGCCTTCACCCCGTGTCCTGAGCAGCCCCCTGGAAGAAGGCGGCAGGGGTCGCTCGGGCAGCTGGGGAGTGCGTCATTCAGCCAGTACCTGGGCAGGTGGCCTGCCTTCTCTGTGTCCTGAGACTCCCTAGGTGGAGGGGGAGAGCCTGCTGTGACCAGTGTGGGGCTGTGGGCCCAGGGCTGTCCCAGGTGGCCAGGGTCCCATGATGCCGAGGGCTGTGGCTCATGCCATCCTCAGCCACCTCCACCCTCTCGCCCCTCCAGCTCCAACGAGGAGGTCACCGCCATGATCCGGGCGGGGGACAGCACCAAGTTCGACGTGGAGGTCCTCAAGCAGCTCCTCAAGCTCCTTCCGGAGAAGCATGAGGTGAGTAAGCGGGGGCGACACATAAGCCTGGGCCCCTCCATGCAGAGCCACGCCTGTAAGCGGGCTGCAGCGAGCACACGTGGGCGCCTCCCGCAGATTGAGAACCTGCGCTCCTTCGCGGAGGACCGGACCAGGCTTGCCAGTGCCGACCAGTTCTATCTCCTTCTGCTGGGCATCCCCTGGTGAGCCGGCAGCCCTGGGGGTGGGCGGGGGTTGAGAGTGGGAGCTGGGTCTGGACCTGGAGTAGAGAAAAGGGGTTCTGTGAAGGGTGGGGGCAGACACCACTGGTGCAGCCCTCAGCCTCGGGGCCCTCCGAGGAGCCCTGTGGGGTCCAGGCCTTCCTCCAGGCCAGGGATGTCGTGGGGGTGGGCGGTGGGCAGGGCTCCGTGGCCTCCCACAGGCCAGCCTGGGCCCTCCTGGGCAACCCCTCTGCTCTCGGAGGGGAGTGTCCCACAGAGGGCGACTGTCCTTGTCCTCGGCACCTGGGGGCTTGTCCAAAGCGCCCTTGCTGGGCCCCCCCAGTCCTGCCGGATCCCATTTGGGGCCTGGCCCGGGAATGTGCATGTTGCACCAGGCCAGGCCATGAGACCCCGGCAGCTCTGAGCTGAGAGGACCCTGCGGGCCCCAGGCAGGTGGATGGGGGCCCCTTGTGCCTGAGCGCCTGCTCTGCCGCCCCAGCTACCAGCTTCGGATCGAGTGCATGCTGCTCTGTGAGGGCACAGCCGTCGTGCTGGACATGGTGCGGCCCAAGGCCCAGCTGCTGCTCGCCGCCTGCGAGAGTGAGTGCGGACGCGGGGCTGGGCGGGCTGGCCCCGGGCGGCGCCTGTGGGTGCCGAGCTTCCCCTTCCCACGGACCACTGCCCGGTCCTGAGGGCCGCGCCATGCATGCAGTCATGTGTGCACACGCCATGTGGGCAGGCACACACTCACACACACCTATACACATGCCCACACACATGCTCTCACACACATACATGCACGCGCACACACATGCATGTGCTCAGAAACACGCACATGCTCTCACATATGTGCACATGCACAGCTCTCGCACACGCACACATGCCGACACATGTATGTGCACACTCACAGGTGCACACCCACACATGCACACATGGGTGCACACCCACATGGGTGCACACACATGCAGGCATGTGTGTGTGCATGTGCTCTCACACATGGGTGCACGCATATGTGTACACGTGTGCACACACTGACACATGCACGTGCTTTTGCACACATGCAGACACGTACATGCAATGTTCTCTGTACATACACATGCATGCATGTGCACGTGCATATACATGCAGGTGTGTGTGCTCTCACACATACACAGGTGCACACATGCCTTCACATGCTTTCACACACACGTGCACACACATACCGCTTTCCCTGAGTGAGGAGCCAGGGAGTCACCACAGCCACGTGGCAGGAACATGGATGGGCCTGACCACTGAGGCACAACCCGGTTCTGCTGGGCATGCACTCAGGGATGTCCCTGTCACCTTGATGACAGAGCCGAGAGCCAAGGTGGCCACAGGTTCCAGAAGGTCCCCTCAGCATCCTCGCCCACAGAACGGGCAGTGGGGTTCAGGAAGCACGGCCGTAGGCACGCTCCACACTTCCCAGGGTCACGGCTCCACTGCCCTGCCCCTCCATTGTGCCCCACGCCCCTGTCCCACCCTGGGCAGAGCCTGGGGAACAGGCCAGGGGGAGGCATAAAGGGACCTTGTCCCGTAGGCCTGCTCACCAGTCACCGGCTGCCCGTCTTCTGCCAGCTGATTCTGAAAATCGGGAACTTCCTCAACTATGTGAGTGGACGGCACCCAGCCCGCCCTTGCTCCCAGACCCCCAATCTCCGCCCCTCCACCAGGCCCAGAGACTCCCTCCCCTCCCTTGCCTCACAGGGCAGCCACACCGGGGACGCCGACGGCTTCAAGATGAGCACGCTGCTGAAGCTCACAGAGACCAAGTCCCAGCAGAGCCGGGTCACACTGCTGCACCACGTGCTGGAGGTACCGGGGGGAGCCTCCTGGGTGCAGCACACAGGTCCAGAGGCCCCCGGGGCCCCGCCCAGCCCCCCCAGGTCTCCCCTTGGCAGCACTGCCCCGCCCTGCAGCCCGCACCCACTCTGACCAGCCCCCGTCCCGCCTCAGCCCCGGGACAGCAAAACCGTGAGAATCACAGTCAGGCTCAAGGGAAGCCCTGGAGGCTCCAAGGTGCCCGGGGCGGAGGGGGGGGGGGTTTCCCGAGGGACATGGACCAGAGCTGCCATGGGTGGGGCTCACAGGGCAGTCTTGGTTGTGTGGCCTCAGTGGGCCTCACTGAACACATCGTGCTGCAGGAAGTGGAGGAGAGCCATCCTGACCTCCTGCAGCTACCCCAGGACCTGGAGCTGCCCGCCCGAGCGGCAGGGTAGGTGCCTCCCATCCCCCACCCACACCCCAGCCAGTGTGGCCGGGATCATCCAGGCTGCTCTTGTGCTGGGGCACCACCCGGACCCCAGATCTTCTGCCTGACTCTTACCCACTTTGGGACAGGATCTTGTGTCCACTGTGGCCTGTCCCTGCACGACCGAGGGGGGACAGGGGTGACCCAGCCACGGTCACCCCAGGGGCTGGTCTAGCACGGCCCCCTCACGAGGCTGACTTTGATGACATGGACATGCTGCCCCCATTGTACAGGCAGGGAAGCTGAGGCCCTGGGAAGTAGGGTCAGGTCTGTGGGGTCACATAGCCCAGGGGTGGCTCTGGGAGGGCAGAGTCCACCCTCAGCACTGGCCGGCCCGGCTCCATGCCACCATGGAAGGTTCTCTGGTCCTGGGGAGGCTGAGCCTTGCAGAGGGTCAGGCAAGGAGGGCAGGCTGAACCGTCAGGGTCACTGTTCTGACACCACCAGCCCAGCACCTTCTCAGGTGAGCCTTTGACCCCACGCTGCTCTGCCCATCCTGGAGCTCTGACGTGCCTCTGGCAGCCAGTGCTCTATCCGGGGCCACTGTCCCTGAGGGTGTGCCATCCGGGGGTCCCGCTGTCCTAGCAAGGCTGGGCGGCAGCTTTCGACTGATCCAGCGGGCCCTCTGGCGCCTTCAGGATCAACCTTGAGGGCATCCACGCGGAGTCCAGCACTAACCTGAAGAAGCTCCTGGAGATGGAGCAGAAGGTGTCCTCCTCCATCCCAGAGGTGCAGGAGCAGTACGCCCACCGCCTCCAGGCAAGCGCTGGGCGGGCACCGCCCTTTCCAAGGCTGGGGTGTCTGCCGGGCCTGGGGTCTACTGTAAGGTGGGAGGCCGAGCGGGCGGGTGAGCGTGAGCGGGCGGGTGAGCGTGGGGAGGAGAGAGCCAGAGCCAGCGCCCCGGCAGGAGAACAGCCCCTGCTGCTGGCTCCCAGGCTGTTTCTGCAGCTGAGGGGTCTCGCCGGGCGCTGGGCTGAAGGGCTCAGCCCCCCGGCCCTCAGAGCCCCCGCGACCACACTGCCTGCAGAGCCTCTGCTGGTGCCGCCCTGCTGTGGCCGCACCCAGCGCTCCAGAGGCTCCAGCGCAGGCATCTCCTGTGACATTGGGTGGGGGGCTGGCCCCGCCCCCGACCCCTCCCATCACAGCCACACAGGCCAGCATCACAGACTCGCAGGCGCTGGAGGAGGTGTTCCAGGCGATCGAGCAGAAGCAGCTGGAGCTGGCTAGTTACCTGTGCGAGGACGCCCAGCAGCTGTCTCTGGAGGACACGCTCAGCACCATGAAGACCTTCCGAGACCTCTTCCTCCGCGCCCTGAAGGTGTGTGGGAGGAGGTGTGGTGGGTTTGCGGCCCCCGCTGTCCCCGAACAGGGCTGGCGGATTGGGGTGCCGGGGGCTTGGGGTCACGGGCTGCGCCCGCCCTGCAGGAGAACAAGGACCGGAAGGAGCAGGCGGCCAAGGCTGAGCGGAGGAAGCAGCAGCTGGCGGAGGAGGAGGCCCGCAGGCCGCGGGGCGAGGGCGGGAAGGCTGGTGAGGCGAGGGCGGGACGGGCGGCTGGGGACCGCCCAGTCTGGGCTGTGGCCTCTCCTCCGCGCCGCGCTCTCGGGGGCTCCGGGGACCCCGGGCAGCGTCCCTGAGGGTCTCTGGGCTCCTCAGCCAGGAGGGGAGGCGGGAAGCAGGAAGAGGTGTGTGTCATCGACGCCCTGCTGGCTGACATCAGGAAGGGCTTCCAGCTGCGTAAGACGGCCCGCGGCCGAGGGGACGCGGAGGCGGCCAGCCGGGCAGCCGCCACAGACCCCCCGAGGAACAAGGCGCCCGGTGAGACGCTCCCCCACCTCCCTGTCACCCCCCCTCCCCACCGGCCTTGCAGCCCAGCGCCTGGCTTCCTCCAGGAAGCCCTCCGTGTTGGCACAGGAGCGCCCGCCCCTTCCCTGTTGCCCTGAGATAAGGGACACCTCACACCCGTGATCTTTGCACCATCTCTGCTGCAGCAGAGGGTTCTCTGGCTGCGGTGACAGCCGTTCATTCAGACCCCAGGCGGGCGGGAGAGCTGGGCCAGTGGGCTCGTTGACATATGCATTGGGGCTCAGAGGGGCTCTGGGGTGGCTGGGGGAGGCGGGATGAGGCCCTGGGGTGGCATTCTCCACTCCTGGGCAGGCTGCCTTGGGGGCTCTAGGGGCAGGGAAGATATATGTCGTTGCCGTGGGCCCCGTGGGCCCTGATCCCCCATGCTGGGTACAGACCGTTGACACCACGGCCCAGGCCTGCCCCGTGGGAACCCACTCGACCACCAGAGAAGGCTTCCCAGGGAAGGGGGTCCGCGGGACGGGTGGTATTGACTTGGGGCGTGCTGAGCAGGGCCCTGGGGATTGGGATCACTCGGGCTGAGGCCCGTGGCCTCCACTGACCAGTACTTTATCCACAGCCGCCACCAGGGGCCCTGTGGGAGGTACCAGCACCCCCACCTCTGAGCCTGGCCGGGACGCTGCAGCTGGCAGGGAGCCCCAGGGCTGGGATCTCGCTGATGCTGCTCCCACCAGCCACCAGCCCACTGGAGACTCATCAGAGACGGGTGGCCCTGGGCCCCTGGAGAGGCGCTCTTCCTGGTACACAGATGCCAGTGATTTCCTGCCCACGGAGGACCCCCAGGGCCCCCAGCCCCCTGCAGGGGCCTGGCCAGTGGTACTGGGAGACGCTCAAGCCCTGAAGCCCCTCAACTTCAGTGACCAGCCCCCCAAAGCCATGGGTCTGAGCCAAGATGCTGAGGAGCCCATGGCCCCGCTGGGTGCCTGCCAGGCCGAGGCCGACAGCACAGGTGAGGGCCTGGAGGACGCAGCTGCCCACGGCCGCCGCGCCGGCCTCCCCGCTGCAGGCCCCAATGAGGATGAGGATGGGGAGCTCACAGCCCCAGACTCCGCGCTGGACACCTCCCTGGACAGGTCCTTCTCCGAGGATGCCGTGACTGACTCATCGGGGTCTAGCACCCTCCCCAGGGCTCAGGGCCGGACATCGAAGGGCACGGGCAAACGGAGGAAGAAACGTCCCTCCAGGAACCAGGAAGGTAAGTCGAGGCCCCCCGTCCCTCCCCGTCCTGCTGAGCAGGGGTTCCGGGTGGGCGAGTCAGCAGGGCTAGGGGCATCGACGCGTGGTCTGAGCTCGTCTGTCCCACGCCAGGGCCTGGACCTCCCCCTGAGGCCGGCCGCTGCCCCTGGGAGTGGGCGATTCCTCGCACAGCAGCGCCTCTGCATCGGGAGGGCACCGCCCAGCGGCTGCACCTCTAACCCACTAACTCTGCCTGGTGATGCCAGCTCCAGTTGGGCGTGGTGGGGGGCCTGGGGCACGGCTGCACCTCGGCTCAGCGTCCATGCGGCCCCAGCCCCGACTCTGAGTCCAGGGTCGCTCGTCAGGAACGAGCTGTTGAGCGCGTTTCTTTTATTTGGAAGCAGAGGTTGCCCCCGACCCTGACGCTAATAAAACAAAAAGGCTCTGTGTGATCCAGTGAGGTAGGTATCCGCCTGGCGCTCTGCACTAACCGTGGCGGCAGGGGCAGGCCCGCGCCGGCCTCCGAACACTAACCCGCTTCCCCCGACCCTCCCCGGGACTCGCGGCACCCAGCTTCCCCTCCCGCCCTCTCGGAGCCTCGCTTAGCTGCGTCTCTTGTCTCTTGTGAACGGGGCTTCAGGGCCCTGAGGGTGGGCGAGAGGTCCTCCTGCCTGGGCGTCTGGCTCACTCCTGTCCCAAAGACATCCCCCTTTCCCCGAGACTGTTCTCAGGGCACCCTCTCTGGCCCTTGTGTGAGCCACGCGCATCCCCAGGGAGGCAGCGAGGGACAGCGAAGGCCCCAGGGGACGCCGCCAGAGACAGGCAGGCTGCCCGCCCCTGCAGGGGGTGCTCAGGCCTCCTCTTTCTAGGGGAGAGACCTAGGGAGAGGGTCTGTAGGTGCCTCCCCGGTGACGGGCTCCGGGCCTCCCAGGACCCCTGAAAGTGGGCGGGCCAGTCGGGGTCTTTGATGAGGCTCACAGGTGTGACCAGAGCAACAGGCCTGGGTCCTCACCACGCCCCAGCCTGGGCCGTGGACCATGATCGGATGCAGGGACTGGGAGCCCTGCAGGGTCCAGAGCTGCATGACGGCGGCCCTGGTTCTCCATGCACCTCCCACCCGCCGGACTCGAGACGAGGTCCAGCAGGTGCTGGAGACCGGGGCAGAGGTGCAGTCCGGGGCAGCTCTGACCGCCGGGCACAGCCTTTCCCTCTGCTCCAGGGGTCGCCCCTGGGGGGTTCTGAGCTGGGCTCTCCACTCTGACACGCCCGCCTTCACTTTACAGGAACCCTGCACGGCCCTCGGGGCCAGAATCCGGCCTTGCAGCCCCAGCTGCTGGCCCTGGGTGTGGGGGACCTGGGGGGCGCGTCTGTGGGTTTGGGGACAGAAACCACACGTGACCACTGTCTGGGGAAGACCCCTGAGCCCAGTGTGGGATCTGAGCTCCCTCGAGCTCCCCCCGCCCCAACGCCCCGCGGGGCCTGTTGTCCCTGGATCAGGAGAGGAGGAAGGGCCCCTCCTCTTTGTCGCCCCAGCTTTTTGTTTGGAAAAAAACTTCAACTTGAAGGAAAATTTGCAAGGAGGTCCCAGGGAACACCATCTACTCTTCACCTTGAAATTTCAAAAACATGCAAAATATAGGAAAACAGCTAACATCTGCATCCTTCCCCCACCCCAGCCCCTCCCCACGCAACTTCACAGACCAATTTGAGCCGTAGCTGCAGCCTCAGGGCGGCCCCGCATCTCCGTCTGCCCGTTGGGGCCATTGCTTTGCTTTTCTGGACCAAGGTCCTGCCAGGACCGCTCACCCAGCCCCCTGTCTTGTGTGGCACTGAAGACACAAGTCACTTTGGGGGCATCCTGTTCGTCCCCCGCCAGGTCCAGATTGCGTTGGGGGCAGGACCCATACCCAGTGACAGGAGTCCTCCCCAGAGCACCACAGGAGGGGCTCACAGGCCCGTCTGCCCCGTGCTCGGCGGCACAGACACCAGTGGAGAGGTCAGCTGGTGGTTTCGGCGGACCCTCTGCTGCCCGAGCGGGGCTTTCGCTCTGGGATGAGTGGGAAGCCCGTGGGTGAGGCCCGGGGACAGCTCTCAGTCTGCACTTGGGTTTCTGTTCCATCCTTCCTCCCACAATCTTCCCTGCTGGGCAGTGTTCGGACCGGGTGGTCTGTGCCCACGCTGCAGTGCTCCCATGCCCGTGGGACGAGTGGCATCAGGCCGCCTCCTCGGGGCCCTTTCTTAAGCACAACCCCGCTCCCTCCATCTGCCCACCCCTGCTGGCCAGGCCCTGCCTGCCGGTTCCTCGTGGGGCGGGAGTGACGGACCATCTGCTTCTGCCCCGGTTGTCTTCATCGTCTGTCTCTTCCGAGCACCGGTGCCCACGCCCCATGCTGCTTGGCTCTGTGGTGGCCAGAAGGGCAAGGCCTTTGGGGGGAACAGCCAGACAAGGGGCCCTGCAGCGGGCAGGAGCTGGAATTGGGGGCGAGGGGTGGTGCTGGTGCCCTGAGGATGGAGCAGAAAGACCGCAGGAGGCCCCCACCCAGGGGCTGGTGGGGAAGTGACCGAGGGAGCCCCAGGGAAAGCCAGCAACAGAGGGGCTGGAGAGTGTGGATGGGGTGGGACTCGGGGACAGGACACCGCGGAGACCCCACCTGCCCATCTCAGAGGCAAGAAGCATGCCTGGCAACACCGGGCCGGACAGGTGGATGGGGGCCAGCCTGCTGGGGGTCAGCTGGCACCTGCTGCCTGGGGCAGCCTCGCTGCTCTAGAGAAAGGGCCCGTGGTCAGAGTGGACCTCAGGATGCACGGTGCTGCCCACTGGGCAAGGCTGATGAGCAGACGGTGGGAGCCTGGGCACTGAGGCAGCCACCGTGCCACGGCCCCAGGCCAGGCCGCTCTGACCACGTCCTCTCCTCTCCCCACAGGCCTCAGGCCCAGGTCCAGAGCCAAGTGAGAGGACCCACAGCAGGGCTGCCAGACAAGCTGCTGGGCGGGGGGGCCCCCCCGGGCCAGGCTGGGGCCAGCCCCTGGGAAACCCAAACTCCGTGCCTTACCCGGCCCGTGCCACGGCCTCTCGGAGCCTCGGACTGCCGAGGCCAGGACCCCCACGGGCACTGGGGCCCGGCCCGCCTGGTGCCCCCCTGGCCTGCCTGCACGCCCCTGCCCTCTGCTTTCTAAATGCCGCCGCCCAACCCCGACCCCACACGGCATGCACCATGGCCTCCATCCGGCCGCCTGGGGGGGCGGGTCAAGTGGCTGCATCCGGGGCACCCCGAGCTTGTGACCTGGCTCCCAGATTCCCCTGGGGACAGGCCCTCACAGACCTGCCCCCGAAGCGACGGAGCTGGGGAGGACTGGAGACTCCGCTCCACAGCTCTGCCCCCAACTCATTCAGTCGGGCTGAAGCACTCATTTTTAACTGAAATAGGATGATTTGTGGGTTTCTACTGTTTTGTGTGGCCGAGTTGGGGACAGGTAGGTGGGTGAGAGGACCCAGGGCCTTTGGGTAGAGGCAGGCCATCTGGCCATGCATGGGAGGCCCAGGGTCCCTCTATTCAGGAGAGGGGGAACCCCGTGGAGTTGGCACCCATCCCGCACCTCCAGCCCTGAGGTGGGGAGGAGCCTGCCCTTGGGTCCCCTCGTCAACAAGACAGCTGGCCTGCAGCTGCCGCCCCCTCCTCTAGGCCCCACTGGGCTGGGGGAAGGCCAGGATCCAGGCCGAGGGGCCAGAGGGGCTGCCGCCTCTCCTCACTGACCCCATGGGCCCCTTGCACTGCCCCCAGCCCCTGTGTGTACTACCAAGACTGGAGAAGCTTTGGCCAATAAAGAACAAGGCTAGCCCAGCAAGGACTATGGTGTATTTACAGCTCGTGGGTGAATGTGGTGTGATCACGACGGCTGTGGGGGTGAATGGATGGACTGATGATGGACAGATGGGTGGGTGGATGGACAAACCGGAGGGTGGATGGACGATGGACAGATGGGTGATGGACAGATGGGTGGGTGGATGGATGATGGACAGATGAGTGGGTGGATGGACAGATGGGTGGGTGGATGGATGATGGACAGATGAGTGGGTGGATGGATGATGGACAGATGGGTGGATGGATGGACAGATGGGTGGGTGGATGGACAGATGGGTGGGTGGATGGACAGATGGGTGGATGGGGGGACAGGTAGGTAAAGAAAGAGGAATAGACAGGTGGAAAGAGTGAGAGACAGGTGGATGGATGGGTGGGTGGCTGCATTAGCAGGAAGGTGCCTGCGTGGATAGGCGGATGGAGGGGGGTGGGGTTGGCCCAAGGGGCCCTCCCTGCCCCCACAGAGCACCTGGGAGAGCAAGCAGATGCCAGCACCGTGGTGAGATGAGCATGGCCCCATGGGGCCATAATGTACGCGTGTAAACATTGCCCATTGTAAGCGTGTGTGATGCAGCTGTTCTTTCAGCAGATTCACAAGGTTGTGCGGTTGTCACGATTTACTTTTGGAACATTTCCGTCCTCTCCCTGAAGCTCCCGCATTCTGCCTCCCCACGGCCCCGGCAGCCGCTGCACTGCCTTCTGTTGCTATGGGTTGACCTTCCGCAGACATTCACTTCAGCGGAGTCAGACAGTAAGTGGCTTTCTATGATGGACTGACTTCACCCGGCGTGACCTGGAGACTCAGCTGCGCAGCGCGTCAGGACCCCACTCCTTCGTGTGGCTGAGTGACGTCTGGTCTACACAGACCTCATTCCGTCTGTCCGTTCTGTGGACAGACCACATTCTGTCCGTCCATCCTCCTGTCCGTGGACACTCGGGCAGCTGTGCAGGGCTCTGTGAGCCACGCCGCTGAGAGTGTCTGTGTTCTGCAAGTCCGTCTTCATTGCTCTGGGGCGGATTCCCAGGACAAGAATGGCTGGGTCATATGCCAAGTTTTATATTCAGCTTTTTAAGAAACTGCCAAACTGTGTTCCAAAGCGTCTGCACCAGCGTTCATTCCTGTCCTGTTTCAAGTTCAGAGGTATATGTCCTGGGACACCGTGTGCGGTGTGCAGTGAGGTCACATAGGGAGCCCCCCAAGTCCCGAGCCCTGTGCTGCCCCTGCTTTGGGGACAGGCCCGCTGCCTGCAGGGCTTCTGCTGGGGAGCGTTCTAATTCGGGCTGGGCCGTGTGACTGGCCAGGCCCCAGCTGCCGGGCCTGGACAGGGCTGTTTATAGAAAAGACCAACTCCCCAGCCCTCCCCCAGGCATGCTGGCTA